CAGTAACAACTACCGACGGCGTACCTGAAATACATGACGGACTCTTCCTACCAGCCGCTGCTACACATTGCCCGGTCTACACGGCTGATTTGATGTTGATTGGGCGAGATCCAAACGTATCTGAAGTGACATCGTGGTAGGAGGCGAACAGCGCGAGGCCGCGTGAGCACGGGCGTCCCGCTTCGCCACTTTCACGATTTGCTCACGACTCTCATGCCCTTTGGGAGTCATACGACGTGAGACTCGAAGTGCAGCATGATAATGTATTCCCTCTTCTGCGCTGGAACTGGTCTACCTTTACCCAGACAACAACTACACGAGCATCATGAACGCAACGACCTACTGCTTTGAAAATCGTGAAATGTGAGTTTCGTACCTCCAGCAGGTTCCCCCGACTCTGTGGTGATATGGACGGGACGGGTAACACCAAGGGGTTTGCCTGGCGTGGGTTTGGTCGCCCGTGGCTTCAACATGCTGGTGGATTCGAGCCCATTTGGTTTTGCTGTCTCGAACGGAGGGGACTTGCGGACGGAGCCGAAGAGTCGGTCGCGGCGCCGTTCGACCATTGCCAGTTGACATCGAATTTGGTCCCTACGAGCTGCTTTGGGAGGATGATGCGACTCGTACGAACTATATGGCTTGCCTTCGTGGTTATTGCCAGTGCTCAGTCCGGGTTGGGTAGCCATACTTCCAGTGGTGCGGTTGTGTACGCCTGCGAAAGAGACTCTCTTCGACTCCTGGCCGTCCAACGCGTCGAGATTCACGCGTATATGCCTGAGTTCCTTGCGGACTGATTTCAGTTCGGCCTAGATGCCATGCAAAGACTCCATAACTGAATGATGGCTGTGCTGAATGGTGGCCTCCAGGGCGCACGGCCGGCTATACCTTGGTGAATGCGCCGGAGTTGTTGCCCACGCACGACCTCTCCGTCCTACCCCATGACGTATGGTCCCAAGCGGACGTACTAGTAGTCCTGAACATCATCTATTCGACCAACTCAAGAGCGCCCATTCGCGCGACTCCAATGGCAGTGAGAGCTAGCTACCATTCCACGCGATATTGAGCTCAGTCACAAACACGTCAACCTCGTAGAGGGCACGCATGCGTCGGCACCTGAGTCATGGCACTAGAAGCTTGTGAACTCTACTCTGAAGTCGTCTGTGATGGATAGCCTGCCTGGATCCACCTGGCGCAGTTAAAGTGGGTGCGGCTTTACGCCGCATCAAGACGACTTCCCTGCACTCCCTTTGTCCCCGAAGAACAAGACCGTCGCTTCTTGTAAGCCACGAAGAGACCAGTAAGACAGGTTGTGGGATATGACAAGGCCATGACCGGATGTCATCAATATATTTGATCTTCCATAAGCTGTACATAACATCGCTAATATGGTTGGCCATCGGCGATCTCAAGTGATGCTACGAATCTGCTCATCATGCAAGACATGCCGCTTCCGGGAACGCGGGACATTCCGAGCCCTTCTATACAAAGGCCGGCGTGAAGGACATTCCAGTGGTCTGAGGTCGTAGTCTTCATCGAGGACTCGAAGGCTCTCCTTCTCGCCCGGGTCGAGCGCCGCCAGCCACGTCTAGCTCGTATCAGCAAGTGAATTAGCCACAATCATAGAAACTTACCGCTTCGTAGCAGTTGCGCGGGAGTCCACGTGGAGCGACGGCGCATAGATTGACTCTAGTGGAAGTTTGACGATGACGGGAGCCTGCGCCGGGTTTTTGCCGCGTTCCCGATCGGGGACGACTCGTGTGCTCGACAAGAGCATCCAGCGACTGTTGCCATTCCTGAAAGGCGATACTTCGCCAGACAGGGGAGATTCGAGTAGTTTTGTCCTGTAACTGACCTAAAGCGCCCTCGACTAACTCGTCTGACGACTCGTCTGAACTAACTGCCTGTGACCCTGCAGAAGCCATGAACTCGATGTGTTCAGGAGCCCTCCTTTTCACGGCATTGACTCTCTTCGCATACAACTGAGGCAATCATCAATATATTAATATACGCTATTGCGAGAATACTCACACGTCGTTTCCTGGTGCCCCGTGCAGCAGCCGACAGGCGATCATGGACGTCGTCTTCAGTTTCAGGAAAGACGAATTTCCGGTACCAGATTGATTTAGCCGACTTCGTGTGGTTATAGATGGCTCGTTCAATCTGGGGTTTCTGAAGGAACCGGGATGGCAAGGGAGTTGGGTCATCATATGCACCAAACTCGGCAGACTTGAGAAAAGAGGTCGCGAACACGTCGAAGGCATTCAAATTGAAGGGGTGCGTGCGCCTTAGCTGAAAGTCGAAGCGGAAGGATTCTTCGGAGATCTGAATGCAGCCCGGCAGACCTTTGAGATAGGCGTCTAACTCCTCCGTGGTCAAAGGTCGACAGTGAAGGGACGAGGGATCCAAGGCTTGTAGGCTCTCTATTTCAAGAAGAAGAAGGAAGTGCTTCCGTATCGATGCCTTACATCATGAACACGTCGTTCACCGGGTACAGAGCAGAGGCACTCACTAGAAAGCGGCGGTATACAGGATATTCCGGCAGGTCCGCTAATTCGAGCATGTCATTCGAGCGAGAAGGTGCGCCAGAAATGATGTTGCGCTGAGGCTGCACGGACCACACAGATGAGCCATTGCGAGGTCGGTGAGCGGTAGAAGAGGTGACGACGTCGCATTCATATTCTGGTATTCCGATTGGGTAATGATCATGAAAGCGAGCAAAGCCCGTACCTGGCGTCAAACGCGTCGGAGATGCTCCCTGTTGTGCAGAGCCAACGGCTTGACCCGAAACCAACGAAACGCTTGAGTCTATTTGTGACCATCAGCCTATGCTCTTTCATAAGCAGCGAAACGGTACCTGAAACAGCAGGCGAGGCATCCGAAACCGTCGTGGATGACAGAGTCATGGATGCAGCAGTTGGGCGAAGAGCACTGATCTAAGATCGACAGAACGATTCGGTATCTCGGATGTATATATAGTCAAACCAAGGGCCGAAGACTCACGACCCGCCATCTGTGAAAGAGTAAAGACGGACTGGGGTGTAAAGAAAGCGGAGCCAGGCACTATGGCAACGTCCGAGCAAGGCATAAAGAGCCTAAAGGCTCTTTGACCCGTAAAATCCCACGTTCTCGGGGCCGCGCTCACCCGCGGTATGGACACCTTCTAGACACCAACTTCATCTTTCGAAAGGGCATGCGAACACCCTACTTCCCACTTGTCGTCTCTCCTTCCACCTTACTGTGCTTGAATAGCGTGATGCTGCTATCTGCTTATGGATTTCTGCCAATTATCGCTTGCCGCTCCCGCCGGCGTGGGAGTGCGCCTTCGGGGCGCCGGGTGCCCTCTAGACTCATCGCCCGAACGTTCTTCGTGACTAGAGTGCGACGGGACCTCGATTCCACGCTGGCCCTCTGGGAATGTTCAAGCCCCGCTGCATGGGGAACACTTGAGAACTGGGGGAACGCTCGGTGCCGCGACCTCAGCCCGTTTTGAAAACGGCGCGGCGCGGCGGGAATCTTTTCAAAATCGTCGTGAGTCGTACGACGCGGCGTGTCCTGGCTGGCGAACTGACCATCGTATACGGCGCCTTGTACTGGATAATTATTTGACGTCGTAATTCGCGTACAAGTAGGACACTTCTCAATTTCAATATACCTCAGTTTTCCTCAATTTATTTGGGCTCGCTTGGCCAAAAAGAATTCACTTAAAAATGTCTAAATCAATACAGAGTTTCTCGGGGAATTTCCCCCGCGCGCCCATGCTCATATGCAGCTACCCCGCACCCAGCGTAGTGGTCAGTTGCGCCACCTATACAGGCGGGGTTGCCTATCCTGCCCTGTCGGCGCCGTGGGACAGTTTAGCTTTTGAAAACGCGGCGCCGCGGCAAGGCGCGCGGTGCGGCAGCGCGGCGTCGAGCGCGGCAATGTTTTCGAAAGTGCGCGGTGCGGAGGTGCGGCACCGCGCGTTACACCAGTTTTCAAACTTTCATGCTGCACGGTACCCCGCAAATTGTTCGAATCGCACGCTCTACCGGCCAGAACGATCGAGTCCTCCACCATGCGTAGTGGCAACGCTCGCTAACCTCAAAGGAACTGCTCAAGCTTTTCGCAGTGTACTTCGGGGCGCGATCAACATCACAGTCGAGGCGGCATACGATGAGGCATAGCTAGACATGCGGGAGAGCATGAATACCCGCACTCAGACTGTCAGCAAGGTCGATACCCTCGTCAATCACATTCGCCGCGGTGTGTTTGACGTCTTCCCCTTCACCACGCAGAAAGGTGCGACCTGTCCGGCGAACACCCCTGATTGGATCAAGCGCCGCGCTGCCACCAGACACCATGGCCCACAAGACAACCAGTGCTCTCGAGTGCATCAAGGAAGTAAGAACGGAGGGGACAGCGAGCTGAGCGGGGAAGGAGGGGCGAGT